TGACGAATAGATGCTTGATGGTGAATTTTGATTGTCTTGGGGCAGTTGTAAGTGACTGTGTTGCTGGCCAAGGAAAACTCTAACACTATTATAGGGTGTTCTTATCACTTGTCTTTTTGCCATCACTGCCTTGGACGATGATGCAGGTCTCGCCGGTTTGTGTATCACGAGTGCTTTGAGCTTCACCACCTCAGTGTACTGGGCATGCAGATATTGGACTGAAATAGAGCTTGATCTCAAGTAAGTCGCTACCTCGATAATCATCGATTCTAATAATGATCTCCAAAGCTCCGTCGAACGGGTCGTGGAATACCTGGACCTTCCACAGGAACCGCCAGCGATTATTGAATCCAATCGACCGCCTGCCTATTGGTCATCGAGCACGACCAACGATAACTTGCTTACTGTCGAAAACCTTGTTGTTAGATATGCACCTGAGCTGCCCGCCGTCCTCCATGGTGTTTCGTTTAGTCTTCGAGCAGGAGAAAGGGTCGGTTTATTGGGTCGTACTGGATCCGGCAAGAGTACTTTGGCGATGAGTATATTCCGCTTTGTGGATCCCACGGAAGGAAGGATCCTCATTGATGCAATCGACATATCCCAGATTGGTGTTCACGATCTGCGCGAACGATTGGTATGCCTATCTGGGTTCTGGCGCTGTGGTGAAGACTCATATTATACTCTAGACCTTCATTCCGCAAGACGCCACACTTTTTTCTGGTACACTTCGGGAGAACTTGGATCCCTTCAGTAAGTGTATTTCTGTTCTGTGGTGGTGGGGTTTGATTGGCGTTCTCCTTGTAGATGAACATGACGATAACGAATGTTGGGAAGTTCTATACCGAGTGCAGATGGTGAGTACGAGTCAAATGCCTTCTGAAGCCGCTACGCCTGCCACTTCACGCCCCACTTCTATACGCGGTGAACCTGCGGAAGGTTCCATCGCAGACTCCGCTGCTACAGATATGGACGCGAAGACGACTCTGTCGCTGCAAACAAAAGTGTCTCCCGGAGGTTCCAACTTTTCTCAGGGGCAACGGCAATTGATTGCCATGGCGCGCGCTCTGCTCCGACACAGCTCTATCATCGTCCTGGACGAAGCGACGAGTAGTATTGATTTTGCGACGGATGCGAAGATTCAGAAGGCTATTCGAGATGAGTTTACGGATAGTCTGTTATTGGCTGGTATGTTGCTTGCTTCTAATACACTCAAATTGCGATGATAACCTCCCATGGTACAGTGGCTCATCGTTTAAAGACGGTCATTGACTACGATAGGCTCATCGTGTTGGACAAGGGACAGGTGGCTGAGTTTGACACTCCGCTCAACTTGATAGGCAGAGAGGATGGGATATTTAGGAATATGTGCATGAAAAGTGGGATGTTTGGTGAGCTGGAGGCAGCGGCGAAAGCCAAGGCCGCTTAAAAGTGAGGAGATAGTTATTTTCGTTGTTCTATGTAGATTTGTAACGGACGGACGCTTTCTATCTTCAATTCAATGCGATTTTGGAGTACGCCACCTCACACGGTTCGCCCCTGTGGTCGTAACTCTATAATAACGTGACATCCTCAAGTAGGGACAATGGCTTCTTAGCGCCGCCTTGAGAGCCGACAGCAAGGGTGGGAAACGCGTTTGAATGTTTCCCACGGTTGCGATCGTGAACCTCCCATACTATCCCTGGGTAGGTAATACAAAACGGGTAGGCTTTACAAAATCGGGTCTGCACGTCTTCCTCGCTACTTTCTGCCCAATATAACCTTCGGGATATTGAATTCTAGCATTGAATTGACTGTGGATTTTTTTTCGGCGCAGAAAAATGAGCTTGCTACACTGAAATACCTCAAACAATACTCAAAATCACACAAATCAAGGTAGTTCGAGCAATATCAGCCTGCACTGAGCCCTATAAATTACAAGAAATTCTGAGAGTGTGCTATCAAGCTCATAGGTGATCCTCGACTCGTTGCCCTGGTGGTCTAGGATGTTGGGGTTGTCATTGTGAAAGAGGGAGCGGGAGCGTGACGGAGGGCGATGTCCCACGATGCCGTTCTTCATTCTCCGACGCTAGACATATAGATCGCATGCTTGCTGCTTGACAACCGAAGGTTCCGCACGCCTCGGCAACGACGGCAAATCGTGACTACCTGTGACCAGGGTTTTGTAAATCCTACCTTTCGACCTCGTCGCACCGGTATCGCTTTGCTACTGCAAGAGCAGCTCTTTCTCCCCCAACCAAAGGCATCACTCAAGAGAATAGAAGGTCTTTAACAACATCCGGTGTATCCGATGATTTTTAGCCTTCAAGATCCACCTCTATTCACGCCCGAGTAGATTTTTTGTATTACCTACCCAGGGATAGTATCGCCATGCACGCCGTGGAGACATCATCTTGGTCACTTTCCTTCCATCATCATATCATCCTCCTGCACATCACATTGCACCAGTGCACCTCGACGAGAGCGCCGCTGCTCGTCAGGATGACTGCGTGAGTGTCATCTTGGCTTGTTGTCTGTCTGGATGAACATGCATGGACAGTCGCACCAGTGCACCTCGACGAGAGCGCCGCTGCTCGTCAGGACGACTGCGTGGGTGTCACCTTGCAAGTGTCAATGTCCGCCTCGACTAGGATAGCGCTCCTCGCCAGGGTGACGGTGTTTAATGAGCCGTGTGCTGCTGGAGCGACCAAGAGTGGCCTGGGAACAACATAGGAGGCTGTTTATGGGCTGTCGCGGGCGTTGACAGGGAGAATTCGGGTTTGAACCGCGCGAGGATGTCTCTCTTGGTCTGCGGGTTCTGTTTCAGGACGAGCAAGACAGATATGCCGTGTGTGTGATAGTAGACGGCTAGTGATGAGGCACTCAATGGTGACGAAGCAACAGATGACATGGACGCGGATGAGTACATGGCACTCTCGTTGCGGGGTTTGGGATAGTCACGTATAATGGATTTTGTTATATTTTCTGTTAATCAATCCGGCTTAATGGGATGGCTATCATGGGGTCTGATAGTCGTTTGTCATCTCGTCATGAGTGTATGCAGGCGACGGCAACTTGTGTGCCCAATCAAATGTGACATTGCATTGGCGACTGTGAGCGCGGGCCGGAACACGTGAGCACGGACTCACCTCTGTCGCTAATATGTGGCAGGAGTGAGCAGCCCCAACTCATACTCATACTCATACTCATACTCTCGGGAAAGGACTGATTGTGTATTTCAAACAAGCAGTCATAACACAACATTAAGGAGGGAGCACCTATGCAGCGAAGCGGCCTGAGTGTACCTGCTGCGATGCAGTCTGGTGAACAGGATCATGATTCCAGGATCTTGGTAATGGGCTATTCATACCATCTCTCTCGCTTCGCTCAAATCTACTCAACGCTTGTCAAGTCTACACTGCAGTATTCTTGCCATGAGGTATACTGACACTCGGTTCCACTCCTTCTGCTTCCACTGTTCATCTGTCAAGAGTTGGAGTCCTGGTTCCTTCCCCCATAAAAGGTTGACTCACTCCCCAACTTGGTACCAAACCACTTGCCATGTCTTCCCTCACGCAAGAACTCGGAATGTCCGAGGCGTCTCATTGGAACGGCCACATCATTACTGTCCTTTGCTATGTTATGATTTTTGGGTGCTAGTGCTAGTGTTAATACATCTTTGCCTTGATGATTGCTATGCCTAGTCAACTTGAGCTTGGGAACGGGATCTATGTTAACCCATGGGGAGTGGGAATTTGAGGCGGGCAGTTAATATTTCTGGGTATGACAAATGTGAGTAACCTCACAATAACCACCACTAAGATTTGAGAGTTATATCAGCATAATTGGGGGCCTGAGTAGGTAGTCCTCTCAAAATACTTACCTACCCCCGCCATGTCAGTACTATCCCACCCACAACAAGCACCCTAATGGAAAGTCATTGTCTACTAAGTACTCCATTACCGCATCCGGCTTGTCAGACTTAAACGCACACACAGGATTATGGTGGAATTTTGTGTTTCTCTTCTCTGTCATGTATTGCGCTGTATACGAGGGACTTTTATCTCCCGTACTTTAGTTCTGCACAGGGGATGTTGAATGCTGTTGCGGCAAGCCGAGTTCCAGTTGAATATCATCAAATTGTACTACTTAGACTGATCATGATGCAGGCAGCCGCACCCACCATAATCATTGGACATGTAATGAGTGGAGAGGTGCGTCCCACATATGAAGAGTATTGCTGAGAACGCCACGGAGAGTTCTGGTGTGGACATTCAAGAGGTTGCTGGTGCAAGTACGGGAAAGCGAAGGCCGGCGGTAGGGTTAAAGGGAAATTGCAGCAACTTGAACAATCTAACTGTGGTGGATGTAGTGGTGCTGCTGGCGCGTTATGATTTACTTACCAGCAGAGAGGGAGTTGCATTTGAATGTAGTATAGGCAATCAAGTGTAGTCAAAAAAAAGCTTTGGTGTAAAGTAAGCACCTATGGCCACCCGCTTGATAGAGATAAGTTCAATACCACGAGGCAGCTCCCGACCAAACCTCTTCCACCTCATTATATCCCAAACACTTGCATCAAAACAACCAAAACTTAATCAATGTCATCTAAAATTATCAATTACTCGCAAATCCATCCATTGGTTCAAATTCCTCCACCACATAGCCATTCAGAGCTCATGGCAAAAAAAGTTCTCTTCACCCGTCAACTCTGAATGATAGCGTTGCAGCTTCATAAGTACTGTTTGAACAATGAGCAAGGTTGCCATGCCTGGGAACGGGGCGGTAAAAGTTGCCCTTGGGAACAGAGAGAGATGCGGGAAGGGGGTGGCAATAAGACACTGGGAAACGAGCCATGCCCACACCTCGCCAATGGCGTGCACACCCTAGTAGCCAGGCTTGTTGAGTGTCTGATACGTCAAAGGATTGACAGTGAGAAGGGGTATTTCCTAATGCAAGTGTCCCTGTGTATTCAATTTTCAATGGTACACAGTGAGGCGAGAAAATTGAGGGAAAGGAAAGAAAAAGGGCCTCACTGGGAATTGAACCCAGGACCTCCTCGAATGTCCGACCCAAACGAGGAATCATGCGACTAGACCATAAGGCCATGGACTGGTGGATTGGCTTTGGTACACATCGTGATCCGATGTAGTCGCACTCTTATCCGCAGTCTTAGCTGGCCTTATCGCGCGTGTTCAATGACACGAAATATGCTCTACAATTCGCCGATTCGAGGGTGGAAATGCTGTTTTGGGCTGCCTCGCGAAAGAGGCGTGTTAGTATGCGCGTATACGTTTCGGACAGAGAGAGTCCCCTTGTAGCCATATGCAGGTTCCTACGTCAAGATGCCGCCTTACCGAGTCAGCGAACAGCGCGCAGAAGCCTAATGTGGCGTAGGATACGTCATGCAGCAACCGGCATGTAACCCCTTTTAGGCCGGTCACCCTATTGCTTATCATGCCCGTTTCAGCGGTTTACCGTTCCCCCAGCTCTCTTGAACTCGCACCACTATCATCCCTTTAGACCACATCTCTACTTGCAAGCTAACTGGTCGTCGTTCTCTTTTTATAATGCGTTGTTTACTCATCGCGTCGCTCGCTGTGGCTGCGGCGGCGCACTCGTCGTCTGGCCCGGGGCGGTTACGCAAGTCGCTCGGGTTTGGCCCAGTTCATCCCCATGCTGTCTACCATTCCAGTCCGTACTCGATAGTCACGAATGGGTTCCTGCCGCAGGGCCCATTCGAGGACCCACTTGAGGTCGCTAGGCTTTTCGTGGAGGACGTGCTCGTCGGGCAGCTGTCGGAGACCCACTCGTACCGGATACGAAAGGACTCGTATACGGACAAGAACACGGGCATTACGCATGTGTATGTCCGCCAGCTCATCAACGGGCTCGAGGTCGCAGACGGTGACATGAACGTCAATATCAAGGACGGCTTGGTTATCTCGTATGGCAACTCTGTGCGTATCTTCTCCCCGCCATTGGCTTGGCTAACACGTCCACAGTTCTACCAAGGAGATGCGCCAGCGCCTTTCACCAATCCCGACCTCGACTCCATTCGTCACCCGCATCGCGAGTACTGCTCCCAGCTCGAGTCAGAGATGAGGACTCGCATCGACGACTTTTTGCAGTCAGAGGGTCAGACTATCCTTGGCTCGCTGGAGAACCACCCCAAGGTGCAGGCGCTTTTTGGACCCCTCTCTCACATCCACGTCTCCAACTGCGCCAGCATGGAGCTCCCGTACGATTTCCACGGTCTTCGTGATCCGGTCGACATGTCCGACGTGCGCCCTGCTCTGCTCCAGTTCATGCTCGCCGCCACTCCCAACGATCGTATGGTCAACGACATCCTTGCCAACTATGACGAATATTTGGCAAAGATGAGCGTTACCCCCGAGCATCATTTGACCAACCCCGACGAGCCTGTTCTCATGCACGTCGACAATGTCCCCGATGCTGTCAACCCCGTTCGTTCCAGCCTCGGATACATTCAGGTCCCTAGCAAGGATGGACTGTCGACTGACCTCAACCTCGTTTGGCGGGTACGTCTACTCTTATTATTATCATAATTTTGTGACTCATGTTTGACACAGTTCCAAGTTGAGATGCAGGACAACTGGTATGACGCTGCGGTCTCTGCCACGTCGCCGCATCGCATCATCTCCGTCGTTGACTGGGCCTCCGACGCGCCTATTCCTACCCCCGAGCCTTCGACGTCTGCCACCTACAACGTCTTCCCTTGGGGTATCAACGATCCTGCCGAGGGCAACCGCTCTTTGGTGAAGCAGAACTCTGATACCTTGGCTTCGCCCATGGGTTGGCATTCGCTCCCATTCTCCAACGATCCTTCGCTCAAGGGTGTCCGTCTCCGCACGAAGGAGTTTTGGAGGAATACCACCACGACCTGGGGCAACAATGTAAGTTTACTCGTCCCCGATCACGTACGATATGCTTATCGCTTTGCAGGTCTTTGCGCAAGAGAACTGGGAGGGTCAGAATAGCTTCGTGGACAACTACCGTCCTGACGCCGGTAAAGATCTCGCGTTCGACTACGCGTACAACCCCAAGGAGACCGAGAAAGGTGACGCCCAGGACGAGGCGCAGAAGTACATCAACACTACTATCGCCCAACTCTTCTATACTTCCAACATGATCCACGACTTTTACTATCGCTACGGCTTCGATGAGCTCTCTGGCAACTTCCAGCAGTACAACTTTGGCCGCGGCGGTGAGGGCAATGATGCTGTCATTGCCAACGCCCAGGACGGTTCGGGATATAACAACGCCAACTTCATGACGCCGCCCGATGGTCAGAATGGCCGCATGAGGATGTACCTTTGGAACACGGCTGTCCCATTTAGGGATGGTGACCTGGAGGCTGGTATTGTCATTCACGAGTTGAGTCATGGACTGAGCACGCGTCTTACTGGTGGCCCTGCGTCGTCGTCGTGCTTGGGCTGGGGCGAGAGCGGCGGTATGGGCGAAGGCTGGGGAGATTTCTTGGCCACGACAATCCGCAGCACCAAGGACTATCACGACTTCCCCATGGGCGCTTGGGCCGCGAACCGCGACACAGGTATCAGGAACTACCCCTACTCGTTGAACGACACCGTCAATCCTTCGACCTACCAGACGCTCGACAAGCCTGGATACTGGGGTGTGCACGCTATCGGCGAGGTGTGGGCACAGATGTTGTGGCTCGTCTCTCAGCGTCTCATCGCCAAGCATGGTTTCACCGAGACGCTCTACCCTCCTGCTCCTCTCGCTGATGGTTCCGTTCCCGAGGGTGACTTTTACCGTCCCGCTGTCGGCAAGAAGCCTCTCGTTCCCAAGCATGGTAACTCGCTTATCGTTCAGCTCGTGCTCAACGGGATGAAGCTCCAACCTTGCCGGCCATCGTTCTTTGATGCTCGTGATGCTATCATCCAGGCCGACGAGCAGTTGACGGGTGGAGAGAACTTTTGCGAGCTCTGGATGGGCTTTGCATCGCGTGGACTGGGTACGGATGCGGATGTACAGGGCAAGACGCCATGGGGTGGAGGAATCCGTACCAACGGATATGCTGTACCCAGAGTGTGCAGCGAGTAATTGATCTATACGTGATGATTTTAGATGACATCTATTCACTACATACAGTTTAGCTATGCACGTTGTACTATTAGTTTTGATGCGAGTGTTTGGAATATAATGATTCGTAGAGATTTTGGGGCTGATATTCACGAGGGACTAAATGTCAGACCGCGGGCGCCTCTGCTTATGAGATCTCCCAATGAAAAGTGCGAAGTGTTAGAACAACTACAGCCGGGTCAGATCGCTTGATCAATTTGATATAGCACAAAGGCATGGGATAACAGGTTTTGTTGATTCCTTCAAAGTACTTATACGTAGCCCGTGTTATGAGGGTTCCTATCCATATCTGAGTACGTGCATGCTTCATTGCTTGATAAAGTTTCTGTGAGCACGTGGTCCCAAGATGCCGAGCAAGTTTTCCTCCCTTCTACTCCATCACTCAAAAGACACGCCGATTGCTTCCCAAAGATTGCTAAGGCCAAGTCATCAAAGATATGAATTTGTAACGTAGCAGTTGCAAGTATTTATGTGTGCCTGTCCATTTTAATCTTTGTAGTACAGCTATCTTGTATGGCTGCAATCTCTCTTGATCTCCCAGGTCCTCTGAGTTTACAACCACCGTTTATTGCCCGGCCTTCCCTTTCCCGTTTGCTGTGTTCATCTCGTCCACTTGCAACGTCGACGATTCACGGTGCGCGGCAACCTCAATGTCCATAACAGAACTCTCCGTCCTCGAAGGAAGAACACTGGCAAAACGAATGTTCTCAGCAATACTCCTCATACGTGGGAGCGAGGTTCGCGTCCACGAGTCATTCGGACGCGCCTCTCCAGTCATCACGCGTCCAATGATCATGGTGGGTGCCGCGGCCTAGTAGTGCGTTCATCATCAGTCAGTCGCAACTAACATGATCCTGAGAACTTGTCTTACCGCCACGGCATTCAACATCCCCTGCGCATACAAGCTCTTGGAGCTAAAGTACGGGAGATAGAAGTCCCTCGCATACAGAGCGAGATATACTAGGTACGTTGCGGAAAAGAGAAAGGCGGATTCCACCATGATCTCGATGAGCCCGCGATACGTGCGCGTGCGTTTTAGACCGACGAGCGATATGATGCGTATGATGATGAGCGATGTGGTTAGGATGTTGACGGATGCGGTGATGGAGTAGTAGACGATGACCCAATTGACTTGGGTCAGGGTGCCGGTAAATGTCGTCGTGGGTGGGAACAGTACCAGCATATAAAAGACGTGGCTGACTGATGGCGGAGGTGGTGTCAGTAGGTAGTTTGAGAGGACGTTTGATCACCTACTCAAGCCGCCGAGAACCCCGAGCACTGGAAGGGCCATGACAAACCAATTGTGGCGATATAGCTCTCTGCATCGCCAAATCTTAAAACAAAGTGCCATGAGCTTTCGACGTATCAGAAAGGTTGTGAGTTAGTCACATTCGTGAGCTCAGCAAGTATCACATTGAAAGGAGTTGCCGTCATACCCAAAATATTAAGCGCGCGTCTCTGAGGCGTGAAGTTCCCGCTCCCTATACCTGATATATATCCGAGTACGGAGTGCCCATGGGTAACATAGGTCTCATAGATCCCGTTCCACGCAAGTCCAAAGCTCATCGTCGCCACGGCCCATATCAAGCAGAGCACAATAGTCAACCCGACGCGTTGACGAGGCCATTCGTGGCGTGCCACTACATAGCCATCATCAACGTCCGTCAAACAAGCAAGGAAATACTAGCATACCTATCCGATGCATCGTAGCCCCAAAAACCATAACATAGAGCAGCATAGCAAAGGACAGCGATGATGTGGCCGTTGAGATTGTCGCCGATGAGACGCCGCGCTTCGTATTCCGAGTTCTTGTGCGAGGGAAGACATAGCGGAGGGTAGTGGTTTGGTACTCAGCTGAGTCGGCCTCTCATATAGCTGAATATACATAATGCATTTACCTAAGGAACCAGGACTCCGACTCTTAAACGCCATTGACAGATGAACAGTGGAAGCAGAAGTACAACTTGGGAACGGTGGGAA